ATAGCATAACGAATGTTATAATATCCCCAAAATTAACCAGTAATTATACTGAAATTCTGTCACAATTATCAGAAACATTTACACAACAGCTCTTCACAAGTCTTACTCGTACAACATTTCTCTTTAAATCTCAGCAATCTCTCTCTCTCTCTCTCTTTAAAACCCTCTCACTTTGTCTAAAGACAGATTACTATTTGAACGCTCTCTCCCCCACTAAATTTGGTTTAATAAGGGGGATAAGGGCGTGTTCCTGATATCACTATAAGAATCCTCCTGGGTGTATGTCTCTATAAGCTACAGAGCCTGGTTTTATGTTTTTGGCGCTAGTGACATAACATATAGAGTAACGTTGAGAGGTGACGTTACAGGTGTAAAAAGCAGTGTACTCCCAAATGTATGAAGATAGATCTAGAACATTGTGATGTTTTTCTCAAATGTGTTCAGACTTGTTAATACACCTCTTGCTGTTGGCTATTGTCCAAGTTTTAAGCTCTTTTCCTACAGAGAATCACCGGTTTGCTCACAATGAACGATTAAGGTTGTCGGTTATGAATATGGAGTTGATGAATCCAGATTTTTGGAACATTTTTGGAACATTTTTGGAACATGTGCCAAAATTGTGCCAAAAGTGTGCCATGCATTTATTTGCCCTAATGAGCTCTAAATAGTGCCAAAAATAATTGTAAATGATGGATATATTTGCAAGCTAGGTCTAGGGGCCATCGAAAGTAGCATAACATTACCCAGGTTCATAGAATGAACGAAAATGAACAAAAATGAATATTGTCCTAAAAATGCTCAGAATGGTTTAAAATTGGTCGGAAAGTGTTTATATTAGTCCTAGGACCACTCAAACCAAGTTTGGGAATCACTGCATGTCTAGAACCGATGTTACCAATGTTCCAAAATGTTCCAATTTTGTCACAATAATCCTCCTGAGAATCCAGATTTTTGGAACATGGGCACATCGAAGTATTGGCTGTATTTAAGTGCTGGGAAGCCTCAATTCGGTTTTCTAAGATGGATATAGGTAAAAACTAGGCCTAAGAGCCATCAAAACTCAAATAACATTACCCAGGTTCATGGAATGAACGAAAATGAACAAAAATGAATATTGTCCTAAAAATGCTCAGAACGGTTTAAAATTGGTCGGAAAGTGTTTATATTAGTCCTAGGACCACTCAAACCAAGTTTGGGAATCACTGCATGTCTAGAACCGATGTTACCAATGTTCCAAAATGTTCCAATTTTGTCACAATAATCCTCCTGAGAATCCAGATTTTTGGAACATGGGCACATCGAAGTATTGGCTGTATTTAAGTGCTGGGAAGCCTCAATTCGTTTTTCTAAGATGAATATAGGTAAAAACTAGGCCTAAGAGCCATCAAAAGTCAAATAATATTACCCAGGTTCATGGAATGAACGAAAATGAACAAAAATGGATATTGTCCTAAAAATTCTCAGAACGGTTTAAAATTGGTCGGAAAGTGTTTATATTGGTCCTAGGACCACTCAAACCAAGTTTGGGAATCACTGCATGTCTAGAACCGATGTTACCAATGTTCCAAAATGTTCCAATTCGAGTGGTCTTAGGACCAATACAAACACTTTCCGACCAATTTTAAACCGCTCTGAGCAATTCCAAAGAGTTTACGAAAGAGTCATAAGGCCAATCAACAGACTATTCATTTACTGTACTGTTAAGATGGTTCGGTATTCTGCACCCCTCGTATCGGTTCTGGGCATGCAGTGATTCCATAAACAGTCAGACAGTCACACAATGTACACCCTATATTTAGATCACATAAGTTTCATTTGTATCACATCACTTCGTGTAATAGATGTGTGGAAGCAAATAAAGATGTGATCTGAATAAGGTGATCCGAGCGTAGCAAGGTTATCCGATCTTATTTGGTGTGATCGGATGTAGAGGCGTAAGATCAGATCAGGTCATCAGCAATAGGATTAACTTAGCAAGCTTGTTAATGAATAAGAAGAGAATAAATAGATAATTAAGTTATACAAATCATTTTCCCTCTCTGTTAACCACAACAACTACAACGACAATGAATCCCTTCACTAAATTGATGAGCCTACCTCTTTATCTACCAGTTCAAAGAAGCACCAGCAGTCCACCTCACTCAACCAACCCCTTCACCAGCAACCTTCATCCCTCAACCAACTCATTCACCACCAGCCTACCTAACGCAACCAACCCCTTCACCAGCAATCTACCTCGCTCAACCAACCCTTTCACCCGCAACCTTCATCCCTCAACGAACAAATACAGCTAATGATGTCAAAAATGTATATCAATATATTGGGGGATTATTAAAACCAAAATAGTTGCCCAATAAAATAATTTCTGCCTTCTCTTGGAGGTACGTGTGCTAATTGTACATAATTCTGAATGCAACTTTAAGACTCTGTTGGACGAAAATATTGACTCTTTGCCACCATTTTCTTACCATTCTGAGCGCTTTAAGGAAAATTTTCATTTTTGTTCATTTTCGTTCATTCCATGAACCTGGGTAATGTTATTTGACTTTTGATGGCTCTTAGACCTAGTTTTTACCTATATCCATCTTAGAAAAACAAATTGAGGCTTCCCAGCACTTAAATACAGCCAATACTTCGAAGTGCCCATGTTCCAAAAATCTGGATTCTCAGGAGGATTATTGTGCCAAAATTGGAACATTTTGGAACATTGGTAACATCGGTTCTAGACATGCAGTGATTCCCAAACTTGGTTTGAGTGGTCCTAGGACTAATATAAACACTTTCCGACCAATTTTAAACCATTCTGAGCATTTTTAGGACAATATTCATTTTTGTTCATTTTCGTTCATTCCATGAACCTGGGTAATGTTATTTGAGTTTTGATGGCTCTTAGGCCTAGTTTTTACCTATATCCATCTTAGAAAAACGAATTGAGGCTTCCTAGCACTTAAATACAGCCAATACTTCGAAGTGCCCATGTTCCAAAAATCTGGATTCTCAGGAGGATTATTGTGCCAAAATTGGAACATTTTGGAACATTGGTAACATCGGTTCTAGACATGCAGTGATTCCCAAACTTGGTTTGAGTGGTCCTAGGACTAATATAAACACTTTCCGACCAATTCTAAACCGTTCTGAGCATTTTTAGGACAATATTCATTTTTGTTCATTTTCGTTCATTCCATGAACCTGGGTAATATTATTTCAGTTTTGATGGCTCTTAGGCCTAGTTTTTACCTATATCCATCTTAGAAAACCGAATTGAGGCTTCCCAGCACTTAAATACAGCCAATACTTCGATGTGCCCATGTTCCAAAAATCTGGATTCTCAGGAGAATTATTGTGCCAAAATTGGAACATTTTGGAACATTGGTAACATCGGTTCTAGACATGCAGAGATTCCCAAACTTGGTTTGAGTGGTCCTAGGACTAATATAAACACTTTCCGACCAATTTTAAACCATTCTGAGCATTTTTAGGACAATATTCATTTTTGTTCATTTTCGTTCATTCCATGAACCTGGGTAATGTTATTTGAGTTTTGATGGCTCTTAGGCCTAGTTTTTACCTATATCCATCTTAGAAAAACGAATTGAGGCTTCCTAGCACTTAAATACAGCCAATACTTCGAAGTGCCCATGTTCCAAAAAATCTGGATTCTCAGGAGGATTATTGTGCCAAAATTGGAACATTTTGGAACATTGGTAACATCGGTTCTAAACATGCAGTGATTCCCAAACTTTGTTTGAGTGGTCCTAGGACTAATATAAACACTTTCCGACCAATTCTAAACCGTTCTGAGCATTTTTAGGACAATATTCATTTTTGTTCATTTTCGTTCATTCCATGAACCTGGGTAATGTTATTTGAGTTTTGATGGCTCTTAGGCCTAGTTTTTACCTATATCCATCTTAGAAAACCGAATTGAGGCTTCCCAGCACTTAAATACAGCCAATACTTCGATGTCCCCATGTTCCCAAAATGGTTACAAAAATCAAAATTGGAACCACCTTCACATCGGTTCTAGACATGCAGTGATTCCCAAACTTGGTTTGAGTGGTCCTAGGACCAATGTAAACACTTTCCGACCCATTTTAAACCGTTCTGAGCATTTTTAGGACAATATTCATTTTTGTTCATTTTCGTTCATTCCATGAACCTGGGTAATGTTATTTGAGTTTTGATGGCTCTTAGGCCTAGTTTTTACCTATATCCATCTTAGAAAACCGAATTGAGGCTTCCCAGCACTTAAATACAGCCAATACTTCGATGTTCCCATGTTCCCAAAATGGTTACAAAAATCAAAATTGGAACCACCTTCACATCGGTTCTAGACATGCAGTGATTCCCAAACTTGGTTTGAGTGGTCCTAGGACCAATGTAAACACTTTCCGACCCATTTTAAACCATTCTGAGCACTTTGAGAAGAATGTTCATTTTCGTTCATTTCTGGTCATTCCATGGGTAATTTTATACGACTTTTGATGGCTCCTAGGCCCCTAGCTTACGGCTATATCCATCTTAGAAAACCGAACTGAGCCTTCCCAGCACTCAAATAGGCCAATACTGCGATGTGCCCATGTTCCAAATTTATGGATTCATCTACTGTGAATATGTAGGTGCTAAAATAGGTCTACACAATTTATATCGTGGAGCGCGCGTTAATTTTATATTAGGGTAAACCGCGCGCACACGCGTTCTTATTGAAGTTTTTAAAGAACAAACGACGAATAGTGGTGGGAAGAAATCTTAGCACTCATGCAACATGAGAGATTAAATAAGATTATGAATCAATTTTCCGACAATGTGATATAAATATGCCACATGTGGTGATGTGCAGGATTCGATGATGTTTTATTCCATGTGAAAGATTAAGCACAGCGTGCTGAGTAATTTCAACTCTTCCGCAAAGTAATCGAAGTGCTACAACTCCATATCCAAGAGCCAAAGATCATTGTCAAACTATCAAGTAATGATGAAACCCAATACCTTGTTTTCAGGTATACGACAGTTACAGCTAATCCTACTAAAGATCTGCTGTTTGCTTGGTGTGCAGATCCACGTAGGAGTAGAGTTCAGGGGGGTCGAGGAGCCCACTATTGATAAATCTGGGAACTGCACTGGTTGGGGTATCCATGTAGTGCCTCACCCTCCACTCTTACCTAAGTGAGTACGGTGCCTTATATTCTGGTTAACATCGCATCTAGAAAGTTTGATTATCGTGTTTATTTTCATAAAACCGTTCTTTTAAAATCGAATAAACGGGACTGCCAAGTACTAATCATAGTTATAATTTAAATGATTTTTAACAACTATCAGTTAAACGTTACATGTTATAGGTGGAGGTGGGACGCAATGGTACAAGCATCAGGGAGACAACATGTTCTACCTCTCTTTCAGTACAAAGAGTTCAGAGGTATGTAGTATAGTATAGTACAGGTATATTAGAGGTACAAGATACTTTTGCTTCTCACTTCAGTTGCATTTTGGACACGAAGGGAAACACATAATATGTTTAAAAAACTACATCTTGAGAGTCTAAAATTATTTGTTATATATAACTATATATAGTAGTGTTGAAAGTATTAATCTTACTTCTTATAAAATTTCGTAGTATTTCGTCAATCTATGGTGAAAGCTTGTTGTGTTGATATTTGATAACTTGTAAATATTTCAATGTTTTTTCAGGCCAGCAAGCTATCGGAATGACAGTAAACTTTGTTAATCGCAGCACAATGGAAGAATTAACCATCGAGGAAATCAGTGGGATAGCTTTCATTTACAATCAGGTTCGTTTTATCCAAAACATCTGAAATTATTTTGAGCTGTTCCAATCAATCAAATAAATTGGTAATCTTTTTTTGCTCTTATGAGTAATGAGTGGGTCAATCATTTATTTTGAATTATAGTTGACGAAGTGAGAGTCTCCACACACTGAGTGGAGACTCTCACTTCGTCAACTACAATTCAAAATCAATCAAATAAATGTACTATTTGGTCTTTTCTTCATCATTATTAATCTCTTTTTCTTCCTATTAGAATTATTCCTTAGTATTTTATTTCTCTGAATTTCGTATATAAATTTTAAAAGTTGCAGTAGAGAAATTTTTATGAGAACCCTTACAAATTTACCCACACGTACAATTACTGTTCTAGAAATTACAACTTACCTTACTTGACGACCTCTCGTCTCGTCGAACATTACATACGTAAATATTGCAATTTGCAGTACTGCATTAAAAAACTATAGAGTATATGTACAGGCCGATTAAGCCCGATTACTGTAAGACATATCTCTGGTTCTAATAAGCAAATTAAGTAATTTCCGACAAAGGGTAAGTAACAAGTTTGACAATTTCAGGAGTTCTTTAACGAAATGTACGCCGAGCTGGGAATCTCATTGGAGAACATCGTGTACTACAAAGACGAGACTCACTACTTTGTTATGAGTACCAAAAAACATTCTCTGCTGGATAAAAAAGTTCTTAAAAAGGTAAACATAGCACAATCATTTCAACACAATATTTTTTGATGGATAAGGTAAAAATTTGTTATGAAAATAGGTTGAGTTCAAGAAATAATACCCCTTTCAGACCCACAAATTAAAAGACCTCTCGGAAGTTACAATCAGCATAGTTCGCATATTACCATCATAAGTACAGAGTTTTTTGTCATTCAAATGGCACTGAAGCCCATCTTTCTCTGTTTATATTCTGATATCTATTCCTAGACTTTCACTCTGTTTTTCATTCTGTATTTCATCCTATCTGCTTGAGTCTAGTCTCTGATGAAGGGTAAAGCGTTGGTGTCCCAGGGACAGCCCTGACTGACTGTAATATCTTGGAGCTCTCTCTTGCGGAGACATCCTGTAGAATTCTGCCATCCCTCTGGTATGCAGATTCCTAGCCTGTGGGAATGTGATCGTTAGTTGGGAATACGGATATCACTTCAAAGCGCTTACTGCATTTGCATTTTGTATAAGATTTAAAATTTTGGCAGGCTCATCAGACATCATATTTTAACCTGTATGGAATTTGTTTCGTAATTGAAAACTTAAATAACAATCAGTTTGAATACCGCGTGATATGCTTACCTCTTACACATGGACACATAGTTGTAACCAGCGTAACACTGGGGGGACAGTGTATCAATACCCATCTGTGACATAAAGTCAAATACACACATCTCCATCAGTTTATCTGACCTGGGGGTAATTAAGTTATTATTTTATTAATTAACTTATTAATTGATTAATTAACTTATTATCTAATTAATTAACTTATTATTTAATTAATTAACTTATCATCTAATCGTTCACCGATGTCAATTACAGAACATTATGTAACTGTCAAATGTCTCGTATAAATCAGGTTTTAATGATCAATCTTGGCTTCTTTCTATAAAAATCTCTAGATTTTGCATTTTTAAATTCATATAGCACGTAATTCTCCAGGGAACATAATGTTGATAGGTATTATGATACGTAGCCTGCAGGTTACGTATCATAATACCACAATATACTGCAAGCAAATTCGTTTTTGTTACATTCCTAACATTTCTTGTTATATTAAGAAACCAGCAAATAACTTATTAAATGATTAAGTTGTTAGTAATTAGTCAATGAGTATTAATTAATGAGTTAATTGAGATTAACCTGTAAAGTGTATGAGCACTTCCCCTCTGTGTTGCTTGGTTCTCAAAGTACTCACTGGTGAACCTGAAGAAATATTTTAAATAGTGTTATATAATAGTATATATTTATAGGCGAGATAATAAACCAGCTTCAGGCAGGAACACTGGACATTCATTCGTATTGCAAGTTTTAGTAAACAATTAACTAAAGTATATCAACTAAATTATAATGTTAACTTACGTGAAGAGTCCATTAAGAAGTACTTTTTCACAGTGATCACGTGCCTCAGTTGAGTCGCCGATAAAGCTGGTTTGTGTTGGGGGCTTCTTGCAGATACCTGGGGGAGGTGTGTTTTAAACTACTAAACACACTATTTACTTGTTGAGTAAATTCTGTCTGATAGGTTTGAAAACTACTAAACACACTATTTACTTGTTGAGTAAATTCTGTCTGATAGGTTTGAAAACTACTAAACACACTATTTACTTGTTGAGTAAATTCTGTCTGATAGGTTTGAAAACTACTAAACACACTATTTACTTGTTGAGTAAATTCTGTCTGATAGGTTTGAAAGGAACTGATTTGATGATTAAAACAACCTGAATCATCAGCTAATCTAACATGGTAAAGTAATCCACAACATGTAATAATTAACTGATCCTCCCTACCTTTTCTGTCTACAGCTTGTCTGTGCCCAAACTCCTCCTTATCGTCCAATACTTGTCCCCAATAAGTCATGAAGTCGTCATTAGGATTGTCATTATTGTTACCACATAGACCCAGTGTCTTCTGTCTCGACGCTATCTGAGTTAATAGGGCCGGTTAAATTAATATTTATCAACAAAAATATTCAAATAGTGTGGATCTTGATGCTCACTTTATTGTAAAACAGACAATCTCCAATGCCTGACTGACAAACAAACCTCAATACCTTACTAGTTACAACTAACTAACTAACTAACTAACTAACTAACTAACTAACTAACTGACTGACTGACTAACTAACTGAATAACTAACTAACTAACTAACTAACTAACTAACTAACTAACTAACCTCTATATAACTAACTAACTAACTAACCAACCAACTAACTAACTAACTAACCAACTAACTGACTGACTAACTAACCAACTAACTAACTAACTAACTGACTAACTAACCAACTAACTGACTGACTAACTAACCAACTAACCAACTAACTGACTAACTAACTAACTAACTAACCAACTAACTGACTGACTAACTAACCAACTAACTAACTAACTGACTAACTAACTAACTAACTAACTAACTAACTAACTAACCAACTGACTAACTAACTAACTAACTAACTAACTAACTAACTAACTAACCAACTGACTAACTAACTAACTAACTAACTAACTAACCAACTAACTAACTAACTAACTAACTAACTAACCAACTAACTGACTGACTAACTAACCAACCAACTAACTAACTAACTAACTGACTAACCAACTAACTGACTGACTAACTAACTAACCAACTAACCAACTAACTAACTAACTAACTAACTTACTTACTAACTAACTAACTAACTAACTAACTAACCAACTGACTAACTAACTAACTAACTAACTAACTAACTGACTGACTGACTAACTAACTAACTAACTAACTAACTAACTTACTTACTTACTAACTAACTAACTAACTAACTAACTAACTAACTAACTAACTAACCTCTATCTTGACACTCATGAGCCCGTCCCAGATAATCTGAATCTGAGGTGTGTGGAGCTCCATGAAGACCTCGTACCCATCGTAATAGATAGTCATAGCATCGTCTGGGTACAGTCTCTTTCCTTCTTTTATTGGCATTTTCTTACCGTTCTGAGTGAAGTGTTAAAAGTTAGCGGAACTCGGGTATTTAGTCATATCTAATAAGTCTCTGATATTCGACTGAAAAATAGGAGTATACGAAGAACTACAAGAATGTACGAAGAACTAAAGAATGTACATTGTACACACTGCACCAATCTAAATTACCTGGTTGATGACCCATCCTCGGAGCAGCTCAATAGCGTACCCATCAACATAAACAGTAACACTATCCAGGCAGGTTCCATCAGATCCACACTTCACGAATCTACCGTAAATAAACCAGCTACCTTCTGAGGCGTCCATAGCTAGCAGATACGTACATTCTCCCTAGAGATAGATGGGTTATTAATTTCTTAGCTGAGAAAGCAGATTTGTTCGTTTGTTTGAACAAAATCATCCAAACGGTTTATGTGTTGTGCTAAATTCGAAAACCAGCAAACGATATAGTCGAAGGTCAGAATGAAATAACAAACCTGGAAGCTGTATATCTTCTGATCGAATGTGATCACGTGAGGATCCCCGAATATCTGACAGAGGGGATTACTGACGAAACCTCTGTCCACCATTAGTGTCACCTCCCCAGACTCTGCAGTGCTGGTGATGGTGTTACCTTCCTCGTCGTCACAGAGATATGTTGCCTGGGTTATTGTTAACACATTTGTAATTGGTTGATCATTAGTATATAATTAGTATATAATTAGTATATAATTAGTATATAATTAGTTCATAACCAGTTTTAAGGGTTTGTCATCATAAAAAGTGAGTGGTTATTAAAGAAAATGCACACAATAATAAAGAGTGGTTACCTTGCACTGATACATTGCTGCGTGACCTCGGGCACAGTTAACATTGTTTATAGTCAGTTCACTGTCACGTGTCATGGTCTCCTTCTCTTCAGTCTCCTTGTTTACCTTCACCCATCTGAGCAGTGGATGTGTTATTAGTTACAGATTATTGGTTACAAAATCAATTGTTCAATTTGTCAGTTGTCTCTATATTTTCTCTTTAAAAAACGATATGCTGGGCCTAGGTGGCCCAAGAAAGGATAGCATGAAAATGCTCTGCCTGCCTTTGGGGAGTTGTGTCTCTGATTAGTAATTACTCGTATTCAAGAACAGTATTTACTCGTATTCAAGAACAGTACTTACTCGTATTCAAGAACAGTACTTACTCGTATTCAAGAACAGTACTTACTCGTATTCAAGAACAGTACTTACTCGTATTCAAGAACAGTACTTACTCGTATTCAAGAACAGTACTTACTCGTATTAAAGAACAGTACTTACTCGTATTCAAGAACAGTACTTACTCGTATTCAAGAACAGTACTTACTCGTATTCAAGAACAGTACTTACTCGTATTCAAGAACAGTCACACTCTCCGGAACATTACAGCTCACTTGGAACTTCCTGCCTTGTTTGATAACCACATGCTCAGGCATGTCCAGAAATGGAACTTCAGCAGAACAGAGAGGGTTAACCATGAGAGCACCTGGTAAAGGTGGGAACTCTGTGGCATCTTGCGGGGACTGTAATGTTTGGGGGTTGTTAGAGGGGTAGCACTGAGGTTAGATCCCTGGCTTATCAATCAGGAGGTATTTAGGGAATGTATCCAGATAATATAGCAAAATTAAGGGATGGAAATAATGAACTCCTGAACTGCTAAAAGGACAAAATAAACGATCCAGATTTAGACGGAAGTGGCGTAAAGCTTCTCCTTGCCCCTCGCACCCCCCCCCCCCCCCCTATCCGTTCAAATATTTACCAACTGAATCTCCTCCTCGTCTCCCCTCTTCCTCTTCTTACTTTCGTACCTCCCGGAAATGAAGATATCATCATCTGCACTGTCGTCCTTCTCACCCCACAGACCAATGTCGAAATCTATGTAGTCCTGAACAATAGACATAATTATAACGCGTGTATAACGCGTGTAGAACAGAACATTAGGGAGTCATTGCTGGAAAAATAGAAAATATGCGAATTATTGAGAAAACGGAAATACTTACAGTGAGATCTAGATCCTGATCGTCTATATCTACATACACTTCCACCTCTATTTCGTCGTTATTTGTCTCGTATTCGAAATCGTCACCAGTGTACTCATCTACATAACTGGTGGAAGGTACTTCGTAAATATAGAGAGCAAAATACTTTATACTATAGCATATAGCAAGATTTCTTAATATGCTGAATTTTTCATTTAATAATATATTTCGCACTGTTGACCAGAAAACTTTTATCAACGCTCATATTTGATTGTCCATCGAGGGCCTAGCCTATTGCATGGTTCGAGGAGAATGTCTTTGCCAATTGGCAAGTCAAATTCCCCTTTATTCTATAGATTGCTGTGAACACTTACACGTTGAGTTCTTGATCGTCTATTCTGTATTCCTCTTTAATCATGTTACCTTCATCATCAAGCGTTACTCTGTGTGACTCTCCTGTGACAAGGTGATTAACCACAAATATAACATGCTCTCTCCAAAACGAGACCTGTACTAAACAACCCTCATCTCTCTCAGATATACCCACATTAATTGAACCAAACATAGTTTAAGTTTTATAAAAAATTTCACTGGTTATCTAAGGAACTATTTACCGTCATGGTCCACATCAAATTGAACATCCACGCTCTCTCTGTCCTCCCTGTCTATATCTATCTCTATATCAGTGTCTGTCTCATTAGCTTTTATAGTTATCCGCTGCTGGTCCTTCACATCATCTACATCTACTATCAGATCCTCCTCAGAATCTACCTCCGGGTGTTGCACCTGATTAAGTTAATTAAGTTATTGGTTATTAAAAGTTAATTAAGTTATTGGTTAATTAAGTTACTGGGGTTCAGTTATTATTTAACCGAGTTAAAAGTAAGATTATCTCCTCTGATCTTTACACCACAACAAACAACAAGATACAAGGGCAGGTCTCTCCCGAACGTTGGGATGGCCTGAGGTGCTTATCTCCTTTTCAATAACCCTAAGCCACTCTGTGCCGAGGCACTATACTAGCTGTAGGGGGGTTAGTCCTACGAGCCAGAGAGTGTGTATCACCAGCCGAAGCTGTACCAAATCACAGCTTGGTAACTGGCCGACTTGCATCCGACCGGATTTGAACCCGGGTCTTCTGCTTGGGAGGCGATCGTGTTACCACTACACCACCCGGTCGACTAAGTTACTGATCTTTACAGTCTACACTAATGTCTACACTACAGTTTACATGCTTGTGAAAACTAATTATCAGTTCTTTACTGATCTTTAGCACAAAAAGGAGTACAATATTTAGTAAACTATGTATATTTAAAGATACAATTGTACTACATAAGCTAAGTTACAGTACCTGGTTAATATCAGCCCCAGCAAACACAGAAGTGTCCAACAATTCCGTCTCCACCTCCGACAGATCAGTCTTCACTTTGGTTATCTCATCTTCTATCTTCAGATTACCTTCTGCTATCTGTTTGTCTGGGTCCAGCTCTTCTCCGTACTGTGGAAGAGGCGGTTATTAGATGCGGAGGAGGCGTTTCTAGTGGTGTAAGAGGCGTTTCTAGTGGTGTGAGAGGCGTTTCTAGTGGTGTAAGAGGCGTTTCTAGTGGTGTAAGAGGCGTTTCTAGTGGTGTAAGAGGCGTTTCTAGTGGTGTAAGAGGCGTTTCTAGTGGTGTAAGAGGCGTTTCTAGTGGTGTAAGAGGCGTTTCTAGTGGTGTAAGAGGCGTTTCTAGTGGAGTAAGAGGCGTTTCTAGTGGAGTAAGAGGCGTTTTTAGTGGTGTAAGAGGCGTTTCTAGTGGTGTAAGAGGCGTTTCTAGTGGTGTAAGAGGCGTTTCTAGTGGTGTAAGAGGCGTTTCTAGTGGTGTAAGATGCGTTTCTAGTGGTGTAAGATGCGTTTCTAGTGGTGAAAGAGGCGTTTCTAGTGGTGTAAGAGGCGTTTCTAGTGGTGTAAGAGGCATTTCTAGAGGTGTAAGAGGCGTTATGGAGGAATTGTTTACCATGCTCGAAGTCTCCCTGATTCCTCAGATCCTCTCACAAATAAAGGCTGAGGAGAGAGCTGCTGTCATTATACCTTACCCAGCCGAATAACACAAAGAGTAGCAACACATGCTACATCGGGACAACGCCTAGAAGCTATTGTTATACAGCACAGTCATTAGCTCTTTATTATTCTCCGGGTTGAAGTGTGAGACGTGCCAGGTGAGCATATTTGCTGCGTTGTTGTTTCTCTGGTTGTACTCTGGTCTCTGAGTTGTATTAACTACTGATAAACTGTTTGAATCCCCCATGTTTATACACTTCCATATATACTTAATCTGCAAATCATGAAATTAATTCTTCGCTCTTAGCCAGGACGGAGCTCGTACTTCACCTCTGCAGACCTACAAGTCTTGAAGTCCTATCTTGTTATCTGTAGAACATTAGATAACATAGTCAGTGCTTCTACTTCTGTCTATATGATGATAACAGTGAATATTTTTAATCGGAACATGTATTTTACACCGATCCACCAATCGTAGCGGCTGGTAGCTGTATCATATCAGCAGTGTTGCTCAAAAGAAGATCTAATAATGTAGCACAGTAAAGAGAGGTACAACATTCCAAAAACAGCAAAATGATAGTCAGTGTGGGACTATTTCCAGTCCTGCCTACTTGATGATAACAGTGATTGTAGCACTACTCAGTCCTGCCTACTTGATGATAACAGTGATTGTAGCAGTACTCAGTCCTGCCTACTTGATGATAACAGTGATTGTTAGATTGTAGCAGTACTCAGTGATCAGTATTTGATATAAAGACACCTCACAGCGGGTGCACTACAACAAGGAATATTCAGCTCACAAAGAAGCTAAGATATGAGGGCTCCTTTATAATATCGCCCAAGCAAGTCAAACAAGGAACATTCAGCTCACAAAGAAGCTAAGATATGAGGGCTCCTTTATAATATCGCCCGAGCAAGTCAAACAAGGAACATTCAGCTCACAAAGAAGCGAAGATATGAGGGCTCCTTTATAATATCGCCCGAGCAAGTCAAACAAGGAACATTCAGCTCACAAAGAAGCTAAGATATGAGGGCTCCTTTATAATATCGCCCGAGCAAGTCAAACAAGGAACATTCAGCTCACAAAGAAGCTAAGATATGAGGGCTCCTTCATAATATCGCCCGAGCAAGTCAAAGGATGTTCCCAGTCTTGTCTGCATGATAATAACAGTGATTATGACGCTACAGGGCACAGCAGTGTCATTCAGCATCTTTTTTGTCATATTATGTCGAGTGTAACAAGGACAATTGCACTGCTCAGACCTTTCCAACGTAACAGCAGAAAATAAGGCGACAGTAACTATTTTACTGTTTGCTCTGATCTATGGAGTCTGCAATGTTCCGGAAACAGTAAGATGATAGTCAGTGTGGAACTGCAATATTCCCTTCTTCCCGGATGTTTGGAAAGACTTGTTCACATTATTATTTCAAATGTATAAAATATCCTATTAATGATTTGCACACAAAGTTATAACGAACTCTTCATGTCGTGCATCCTGGGTTTGGACAAGATATATAATTTACGTCAGGATTCAGTCCTTGATAAAATTCTCCTTTTCATTGTAGATAGACTTAGCAATTAAATAGAGTTCATCAATTTATCAACATCTTATTACGATTAACCTAAAACATTTACTTGAAAATATTTACATAAAGTTATAACCTAATTTGTATAATAGGTACGTGATACTACTAGTATGACACAGTAGTTACTAGTTAGTACTACAACTATAACCTGCTAGTTAGTACTGCTTTTAGTAAAATATTTGACATAACTGTCACCACGTACCTTTATGATAGAAATATCTTTACTTTGAGTAACGGAGAGTAAACATATCGCAAGCAGACTGAACTTCATCATGGCTGCAATCATATAAAATTAGAGAGGGTGTTGGTATTTCTAGTTAAAGGGGTAATTGTCTCAGATTAGAGGGTTTGACGTATAAAATGTATGATAGCTGTCTATTCCTTGCATTTTCTGATAGTTGCTTGCATTGCATCATCCTCTTAAATACGCGCATTTAGAAGTTTTACGATTGAAATTTGGGCCGAAGTTTAGAACCAGTGGTCAATAAGTCAAGAAGATACAACTACAAGAGCAAACTCGGGCACAAAATATGGTTATAAAATTCAGGAACGTATGGCTAATTTGATCCATCAACAACGTTAAAAAGAACATTTTCGACCGCATCAAGAACGTATCATCGACTTAGGAGTCCCAGACTTTGAGAGTCAGCGAATAGTACGAAGTCGATAAAGCAGTTCGTGAGTCAGTAAATAATCATAAGATTAGAAAACCACAAATGTGAACCACAAAATGTAAATCTAATTGGTCAAAAGAATTCGAACTATTTAGTACCCAAACATAATGGTACTTTAAACAGATACAAGTGCGTTGCCACAACATCAGTCAGAAAAAGCCAGAAAAGTCCTGCATAGCTGTTATTATGCCTAAGTATGCCTTTATGCGGGGCGAGAAACTGTTAAAACATGTTTACCCTCTCCCCAAATATTTGGAGATGAGAATGTGTAAACTTAAACATTTAATTTGTCAACTTAACGATGCTTAACCTTTAGACAAATTTTGCAAAATAAAGAATTGAGGAAGTGAGTACGTGGTTAGGCATGTTAATGTAGAACAACACACAGATTGGATAAAGCCCTCAAAGGCAGCTCCCAAGGCGCGGAGCGTGCTTCAACATTCACTATAACATTAACGATAAAAATAACTTTAGCCACGTCAACGTTTTAATAATGTATCACTTTATTCAATAATCTGATTTAGAGCAATCGGTTTCCGAAGAAAAGAATTAACGGAGTAAGCTATTTATTTATTAAATCTTACTCTAGTAGTTAAAGATCAAGATTAACATTAAATCCATTCTGTAAAAATAACATAATATAACATTTCAATACTGGAATCGTTCAAGGACATTGTAAGCAAATTGCTTGGCAGGATTCGATTTGCGATCGCACAGATCATCATTTCTCCGGAAATTCGATAAAAAGGGACGTTTAATCGATTTTAAAACGCATCAAATCGTCACTAATTAAACAATAGCCATTTAGAGATGTGACCATGAAAAGTGACCATTGCTATTACTTAATATCCGTCTTTGAAGCGTCACTCATCTTAATAACATTATCATCCCTTAATGCTAGAGCAGAGATATATGATCGTGACCATTATAAATAGGAATAACACTAATAAATTCCGATCGTTTTACCGATACGAAATAAAGGGCAACTTATGCGTAATGACGCTCAGCGACAAGAAGATAGAATAAAGCTAGATTTAGAGCGAATATATAAATTGTAAAGTAACAGCGCTAGTAATACTAATTAAGCAGCAGTTCAGTAAATTAGACCTGCGAATAATGCAGAAAAGTTAAACTACATCTCGCTCACGAGTGACACCAAGGAGGGGGAGACTGAAGCTGCAAATCTTCATTCCACCATATATTTTAACTACATAAGGTATGTACATACAGTACACTGATAAATTCCAGTAAAAATCTTGCTCTAAATGTTCCAGTGCTCGTAAAGCTATTTATTGGAGGGCTTAGAACGGGTATAATTACAAAATCAGGAGACCGCGGGTATCATGTCATAGCACACACAGTACACGGGTAACCTCACCCTAAACGAAAGAGCAGAAAATAAACTGTTAAAGTCGTACCCGTGCACTTACAATACATGTTGAGAATAGATAGGAGGGTGTTACTAGGGTGTTACCAGGGTGTTACTATGGTGTTACTAGGACATCAAAACAAAACGTTTTTAAAGTTTGTAAAACACCCGCCTTTCGGTTAGTAAAGTCAATATGACGAGGGAGCTATCTATCTCCCACCACACACTAACAATTCTAACAAACTCCATCAATCCCTAAAATAAGCTCCCTCGGCAATCCCACGCAACAAACCCCAACGACAAATCCCAGCAGTCATATCAGAGAGGAAGGAGCACGTTTAACAACACCTCTCTCTCTGTTCTGCGTCGTGTTTGTTACAACGCTAATCGTTATTTTATAAGCTTCTATCTCCGCCCCACGCCCATCTCACTTCACACTAAACTACTATGCGTCTATATAATATAATAAAAAACCGTTGATGGATTCACGAGCCCGTATATGCGTCTCTTCTTGATTCTTTATCATTGGCGGGAAGACAGTAACCATTAGGTCATTGTGATAACACCTGCTGTTTGTGTCTAGCTGTAAGAGGAACACGAGCTCTTTTAATAGCATTGGATCGAGATACAGATACATATCTAGTTATCATCAGCAAGGTGATCTCAGGTATTGGAATCTCGTTTTTGGGGGTGGTTCGTACATTTGGCTGGCTTCAGTGGCTGCTCACTACAGATAGGGTACAACACCCACATACTACTACATCCGGGGAGACAGCGTCATCTAATTCAACCGTTATTTAACAAGATGTTTTAAAGTTCACAGCCACGAGTGGTTACTAATTATCTAAAACATGCCAGTCTGCTTTTGTGCTGTATAGTAAGGTTGAATCAGCCGCGCGAATGTGACGAGAATACTTACAAGCACTATTAACAATTCTAAGCTAAGATTTGACTTCATTACTTGAAGAAGTAATCCTAACTCGCTCCTTAGATCTTTCCTTTAATCGCTTCTTCAATCGCACACTAGTTTACTTGCACTCAATCAACAGTCAACACTTCAACTATCAACAGTCAACACCCTAGTTTGGGCGTCTATATCTAAAAGTGATGATTTCTTTGCAGTTTAAAGATCTGTAATATGATGACATCTAACTGCCTGTACATAATAAAAGTGTGGTTTCGACTTCAGGAGTTGTACCATTACTGTACCATTATAGTTTTGCCATTAGTTTCAAGCTTAGTTTGGAATACTACACGACTAAAACACCTTGTATACTATTGAGACTACTAACTACTGTAATCTGTACTGTAATCCTACTGTAGGATCCTACATCCTACTGTAATCTGTACTGTAATCCTACTGTAGGATCCTACATCCTACTGTAATCTGTGCCGCTACACAGGCTCCTATATATGGATTAAATAATCTTGACTGAAATCAGTAGATAGAGCTTTAGATAGAGCTTTTAGAGCTACTGGTATTACGTGATTACAAACAATAGTTTGTATAAGATGTGATGAGCAATTCTACAGAAGCAGTCTAGCGTTCAGTATTGTAGAGGCAGGATCCCACAGTACCTCCCTTACTCCCTTATGAATACCGCTAGGTTGTGGTATGGCTTACTAACACACCTGTGTTATTATACTCCACCCACATAAGACGTGTTATCTAGTAGTAGTGTAGATGTTTATCTACAAATATACTGTGGGTTAGGGATCGTTCACATATTACGTAATCGATTTTTGGACAATTTTAAACCCCCCCCCCTCCCCCTCCGTAATCAGTTTTACACATAGCTATTGTGTCAAAATTACACTAGCGTAATAATTTGGAAATCCCCCTCCCCCTTGGCTGATAACGTAAATACTCTCGGAAATAACTCCCACTACATATAATATTACTTAAGTATTACTACATGTTATATATTATATATTATTATTATTACCGACAAAAATGATTCTTAAAAATACCTTAATGCGGTAAACTGTACCCTCGAAAAAGATTTTCCCAACATCTGTTGCATGCAGCTATATCTCTAATTTCGTTCTATTCATGCAAGTTGTCCATTTGCAAATGTCTACTACTTAAATCACTTCTTAAGACCGATAACAAGTTCATTCTAGGTCTCCCCAATCTACCAATGAATAAATTATCTAATTCAATAGCAAAAGAGAGAGCCGTTTGGGCTGGGGTGTTCTCCATACTCCTAAGAATGTGTCCAAACATCTTCCACCGCTGGTGTTCAATACGCTTGGATAACTTTTCAACTTTGCACCTTTCATACAATGCTTTGTTGCTTATCATACCTTTAGGCCATTTGATGTTTAAAATGGACCTGAGGTGTCTACGATGGATATATTAAACCTGCGTTTTATTTAGATTTAATTCACTATCTAACTAACTAACTTTGCAATGAGCCGCTTCTTAACAATGCTGTACCAAAGTAGGCTAATAGGGCAAACAGCGACCACCGCTTAAGAGCCGGTTAAGAGCCGTTTAAGAGCCGTTTAAGAACCGCTTAAGAACCGGTTAAGAACCGGTTAAGAACCGGTTAAGAGCCGGTTTAGAGCCGGTCAAGAGCCGGTGAGCGGCCGCTTAAGAACCGTCTAAGGACCGCTTAAGAACCGCTTAAGAACCGACGAGAGGGAGCAGGGGAGTTGAGAGGTGCTGGGCCGGGAGCGGGAGTAAAGACAAAAAAGGGAGCAGGAGAGTGGAGAGGCGCTGGGGCCGGGAGCGGGGGTAAAGACAAGAGAGGGAGCAGGGGAGTTGAGAGGTGCTGGGCTGGGAGCGGGAGTAAAGACAAAAAAGGGAGCAGGAGAGTGGAGAGGCGCTGGGGCCGGGAGCGGGGTAAAGACAAGAGAGGGAGCAGGGGGAGTGGAGTGGTGCTGGGCCGGGAGCGAGGGTAAAGACAAGAGAGGGAGGCAGGGGAGTGAAGAGGTGCTGGGCTGGGAGCAGGAGTAAAGACAAAAGAGGGAGCAAGGGAGTGGAGTGGTGCTGGGCCGGGAGCGGGGGTAAAGACAAGAGAGGGAGCAGGGGAGGGGAGTGGATTGGTGCTGGGCCGGGAGCGGGGGTAAAGACAAGAGAGGGAGCGGGGGAGTTCAAATGTGCTGGGCCGGGTGTAGGGTGTTTACATGTAGTTTTAGAGACGGTTCTTCAACGGTTCTTAACCGGTTAAGAGCCGGTTCTTATCCGGCTCTAGGTTGATAAGTAGATTTATATTTCTGTTTTCTATAGGCGGTTCTTAACCGGTTCTTAACCGGTTAAGATCCGGTTCTTATCCGGATCTAAGTTTATTAGTAGATTTATAAATCTGTTTTCTATAGGCGGTTCTTAACCGGCTCTTAACCGGTTCTTAGCCGGTTCTTAACCGGTTCTTAACCGGTTCTTAAGCGGTTCTTAGCCGGTTCTTAGCCGGTTCTTAAACGGTTCTTAAGCGGCTCTTAAGCGGTTCTTAAACGGCTCTTAAACGGCTCTTAACCGGCTCTTAAGCGGTGGTCGGTCTTTGACCTAATTCCCCCAAAGTATGATAATTGTTTATTACTAATTAACTAATACAACTATTTAACTATAGTCTATAGTAATAATATTGTAATATCTCTGATTTTCAGGACTACTCGACAACCTCCGAACTGCTGTCGCCCGATAACATTGACTATGTCAGAGCGCAGACTTTCGCTAGGGTACGTGAACATTGAATATTCCTTACTTTACATGATTTAATGTATGTTGATATTCAGAGGCACCAGAATAATATGAACTAAATTTTAAAAATAATTTCACACCGAACGAGAGGGTGTTGCTCTGGGGGGGGGGGGGGGGGGTACTCCCCCGTTGCTCTAAAAGAGGTAACAAAACTAAATACTTTAAACTCAAATCAAACTGAATAACCTGCTACATGAAAAGAAAGGGAGCTCAAATAAGGGTGTTGACTTGTGATCATGTCCTATTTAGAACATCACACTCATACTACTTTAACATGACCGATGACACGTCTCCAATGAAGTGTTACACGTCTCCTTTCAGTACAGCAGAAGTGTTGGACTTCATTGTTCTCTATATAAATATACATATTATATATATGTATTGTATATTATATGCATTATATGTGTCAGGGTCTTGTCAACTTTAATACTTTATTCGAGCAGCGCTGTAACTCCTATTTTAAGACTGGTCAGTGCATTTAACAGCACTTGAACTAAATACCATGAAAGTTAGGACCCCCTAATATACGTCACTAACATTACGTCACCAACATTACGTCACTAACATGCCAAGAAACTGCAATCACGTGACCAGAACCCACGTGACTACTCGGATTCTATTGAATAATATTTGCAGATATTGCAGAATCTATTTTTAGCGCATTGCTCACTCGCTAAATTGATGATCACACACTGTTATCATGTTTCTGTCAAGTTGAATTCTTAAATTTCATGAGATAAGCTATGCTTTATTACACTTTGTCAACGGTCTGTAGTCCCTCCCAGCTACCCCCCTCTTCACGGCTACCCCTGAATAATATTCAACATACTGATAAGTCCTACCTCAGGAAGTGGCCGGGTTCCCCACTACCCCCTCCCCCCCCCCCCCCCCCCCCCATCATACTGATAAGTCCTACCTCAGGAAGTGGCCGGGTTCCCCACTACCCCCCCCCCCTCCCCCCCCCACTACTGATAAGTCCTACCTCAGGAAGTGGCCGGGTTCCCCACTACCCCCCCCCCCCCCCATCATACTGATAAGTCCTACCTCAGGAAGTGGCCGGGTTCCCCACTACCCCCCCCCCCCCCCCCCACTACTGATAAGTCCTACCTCAGGAAGTGGCAGGGTTCGCTACAAACCTCCCAGTACTAGAGTTCAAGAAGAACCACCACGGCAAAGCTGACATTGCAATATTCGACTTCTCAGCCATCAAACAAGCAGCCAACTCCACTTTAGTCCTAGAGAGAAAGGGACACAAGTTGGTTATGAGTCTAGTGGGTGACTCTCTGTTAGAGCCATTCTGGCCTCAGGGTACTGGGTGTGCTAGAGGCTTCCTCTCTGTAGCTAACACCGCCTGGATGTTGAAGAAAGTGTTTCAAGGTAGGTCTCAGTTCTGTAAAATACTGTTACTTCCAAAAACAATAGCTTATCATTAGGTTTGGTAAAGTGGCAATTCAGAGTTAAAGTTAGTTTATCTACAAAAGTGCAAGGAGGTTATTAATCAATAATCGGTTTCTAACCCAAGTATTAAGTTTATTTAGTGTATAACCCAGTAAGTTTAACTCTATTTTATGGCAGGAGTTCAGACGTACGAAGTTCTCCAGGAACGAGAGAGTTTGTTCAAGCTCCTAGCACAAACCACCCCCATGCAACTCGACTCAAAATACGATAAATATACTATCGATCCTAATACCAGGTACCTACTGCTTACTTTTGTGGAATGTGAACTATGAGGATATTGCATCAAATGCTCCCAGCTCCAGCGCATATTAGACAGTTTCACGAGAAACCATTTATCCCAGTTTGTTAATCTTTATTAAATGCGACTGTGCCAGTCACATCTTGAATAATGGCTTCAAAGGATTATCCCTGCTTATAAATTTGATAATTAACTCCTACTAAAGTTAATATTTTCAACGGAATTGCGCAAGTACGATGCTTATCATTCGCTCACTCCCCGCCTTATTCTCGTTCCCAACCATATACTGCATACACAACATTCCAGCTCCCTAAGCCCGCCTTAGGCCTTACCCCATTATCGGCCTGATCGTAACGATCGTTACCCTCTTCAAATTACCCGTTAATCTCCTCTCTCCAGGTACAAGCACTGGGCTGTGTCAGCAGAACAGTTTGAAGTGTTTCATCTCTACAACAGAGAGGACACACCTATAGTTAACAGCTACCAGGTTACTTTCTCTTTCTCTTACTCTTCAGTCAAGTTATTAACCAGTTTAGTTAGGTTACAAACCAATTAATCGAGCAATTATCTCACTATCTGTCTAATTAACTAATCAGCTAATTAACTAGGGAAGCACAGTAGCTGTAAACACCCGGACCCCTTCTGACGTCAGAAGTAAAAGAAGGACAAGAGAAGACAGGAGGAAGACTATTCAAGTTACAGTCAACAGGAGTTACTCTAAAGAGGCAGAGGAGAGAGAAGCCAGTGAGTTGAGATTAAATAACAACAATTTGAACACAATATTCTCACATTTTTATAAAGATTTTTATAAAGATAAAGCAGAACAAACAAGTTTAATAGACTACAGAACAAGTTTAATAGACTAAAAGATAAAGCAGAACAAACAAGTTTAATAGACTACAGAACAAGTTTAATAGACTACAAGTTTAATAGACTACAGAACAAGTTTAATAGACTACAAGTTTAATAGACTACAGAATGATTAATGAACGAGACTGGGGTTGTTCCCATATTACGTAATCACTGAGGGGGTTGTGGTTTATAAATAGCTAAATGATTACGTAAGTTCAATTTTAACACAATAATCTATTTGTAAAACTGATTACTGAGGGGGAGGGTCATACGTAATATGTGGACCACCCCACAGTAGCTAGATCTTAACGTCGTACCTCCCACAGATTCCCCCACCACGCCCACCCTGGAGCAAGGTTCCCTGCTGAACTGGGCGCGCGAGAGCACGTGTGGATATCGAGGAGTGCGCGTCACCAACCTGACTACCACGTGGAAGAGTGGTCTAGCGTTCAGTGCACTCATACACCGCTACAGACCTGACCTCCTGTAAGTTTGTTAATTTATTTGTTATTTTTGATAACAACTCAAAACGACGAGTAAATCAAAAATTATCACCGAAACTGAAACCCTAACACATGACACAATCTTCTCAGGAATTTCACAGCTGTCTCCACGAAATGCCCCGAAGTAATCCTAAAAACAGTATTTGACACGACATCCAGAGAGTTCGGGATCAGATCCCTGTTTACTGCGAAGGAGCTGGCGAGCACGAGTATACCTGACCGTCAGAAGATAGTTCAGTATCTTGCTGCACTTCATTGTCACTTCACCAGTGAGGCTACCAAGGTTGGTAGCGACAGCTTGTATTTACTGGATTTTTTGGGCCTATCTTAAACCACTACATTTGCTAGGCTCTTGGTATTTGTTGCATACCAACCGTACGAGCGCCTCATATGATACTGATATCTTTGTCACAATGGGACTGTACTAATATCAGTATATCAGTCAGTACGTTTGTCCGTGTGTAAGTATATGTAAGTATATGTGTATGTGTAAGAATGTGTAAATGTAAGAGCATATAAATGTAAGAGCATATTTGAAGAACCTTGCAACAAAATATAAGAAGCTATTCTATATCTGGACTGGTTGTAACAAAATTGTAACCGATTTACAAAGAAAATAAAAGCTAAATACTGCTGATTGCTCTTACATAAATTAAACTACAGATGTTTGAAATGGTACCAATGTTTGGTGAGCACCCTGCACTGGTACATAAGTATGTGAGCACCCTGTATATTGTACATTGTGTGGTCGTGTATACTCAGCTTCTCACTCCCCAGAGTTTGCAGATATCCCCAGACATGTGCTACTTCTGTTCCCGTCACATCACCCCCGAACAGCTCACCTCCTCACACGGTATTAAGTTCCACTCCAGTTGTCTCAAGTGTGAGCACTGCTTGGACAAAATCAGGTAAAACATATAACATATAACATATACGTAATATAACACATAACATAACATAACATAATATAACATAATATAACATAATATAACATAATATAACATAATATAACATAATATAACATAATATAACATAATATAACATAATATAACATAACTTATAACACATAATATAATATAATATAACACGTAATTTGCTTTGATCAAGTTCAGTTCAAAAGTTCAAAACGTGTGAAATTTAGTGTTTTTGATAATTTAAGTTCACAAAAATACTAATAGTGGGTATAAACTAACAATAGTACATCTAGTCTGAACAGTTTACATTATGTGGACGAGAAAATGGCGGGAGAGTTCGCTCAACGCAGAAAACCAGGTATAATTTAAATTAGCTTTGTATCATTAGTCATTTTTAAATTATGCTAATGAGGACGTATTTAGTTCAATAAATTGCATATGTACCACCTTCATTTCTTCAATATTAACCCTATTTATTGTAAATATTTCTAAACTATTAAGCGTCTACCTAATTAGCTACCTAATTAGCAACCTAATTAGCAACCTAATTAGCCGCTACTATTTCAGGCTACCCAGATTGCAAGAGTGGTTTCTACTGCAAATTCCACTTCAAGGAGTACTTTGCAAGTAAAAGCGATTCTCTCTACCCTAAAAACTGGTTCGTTTAATTTCTTTATAGTCTGTTATTTGTGAATATCAATGACGAAACTAAACACAGTACTTACTACCCCGTTTCTATGCGACAAAGATATTGAATAAAACAGAACTAAATAATTTAAACAATACAGTGACCATGTCTAAGCGGCTCTCCTCGAAAAAACTCCCTCCCTCATCGGAGCAGAAAGTTAAAACAAACAAACAATGACAACAATTTATTTTAAATGTGCATTTGGTGAATTAAGTATAAATAAGATTGTCAGCCTTCTTAACGCCTCTTCCGCAGGTTAGAGAACAAAGAACTAGAACTGATCTCCTCTTCCACAGACCCTCTCTCCTCCACCACAGAACCACAACCTCACAGTGACAGCGAAGAACCTGTAGTTCCCAGAGATCACTCCCACGAGCTGAGGCGCGCTAAAAGCGCTGCTTCAGTCAGGAACCTCAGGGATATGTTTGAGAGCATATCTACGGGAACATCACAATCAGATCTTGTTCCTGTAAACAAGGAAGAAGAGGAGGAGGAGGAGAAGACAAAAGAGAAGCTGCCTAATGGGCATCTGACACTAGCTTCTAAATCAAAGAGCTTCTCCGGAGCACTACCGATTAGGAGAGACGACCAAATTGAGGATAATAGAAATGGAGTTTTATCTCCAACCATTTGCTCCAAACCTAAAAACGGGAAAAAGAAGAAATCTGGAATAGCTAAGAAGATTGAGCGGAGGATGGGCTCAGTGAGATCTTCCAAAGCTAATTCTAACAAAACCGAAAGTGACGTGTTGATAGGACCCGGAGTTGATCAGTCTCTTCTCAGTGACTCCTTTGTCATCAACCATAAGAAGAAGAGTAGGTTTAAATTATTTAAAAAGAAGAAAATGTCGGGCAGTAACCCTCCCAGTCCCCTCCTCACCAGTGCGAGTGAGTCAAACCTCGACGAGACTGCCAGCCTCATCATCACAAATAAACCCGAGCCCCTTACAGAGGCTGAGAGCTTATCCTTGAGACAACCTGTCCCAGGAAAAGACCCACTTTACACGATTGCTAACCCCGAATACAAAGCAGAATCAGACAGTCTCTCTGACACCACCTCCACCTCCTCCTTCGTCAGGAACAGTCTCACACGCAGGACTTGTCCTCCCAACATGCACAAGAGCATGATGGACAGCACAGCAGAGGATCTGGTGGTGGACAGTAACTCTTGTAGAAGGGTCCCCAGTAAAGTGATCCAGAATCTCTCCCGGGAAGCAGTCGTGCTCCAGACTAACAGCCCTGAAGCCAGATCCTTGCTCAGGAACTCTTTCAGGAACAGCAAGCGAGGCTCAATTGCTGGCTCAATTAAACAGAGCTTAGATTTCGAAGAAGATGATGTCAGTATGCCGGGTACTCCAAAGTCTTCTAAAGTGCAGATATCCCGGGCATCCTCCCAACAAGCTCTTGTTAATCCTTCAGCTGATGTGCCTGTTTCAGAAGCTCATGTTATTTCTAAAGCTTTCTACTCGCCCAAACCTAAACGTGCTCAGAAAGTGAAACTGGACAGTGTGGAAATGATGGATGTTCCGGGGACTAACCTAGTTGCTTCAGAGGCTACGGTTGTTCACAGAACTTCTTGCTCTCCATTACCTCAACGTTCTAAGAAGGTTAGGTTGTCTATGTGCCGCAGATCACCATTGAACATGAGTTTAGAGTTCTCGTCTGATGATGAGGAGACGCCTCCAAGACGTCCAGAACTTCCTAGAAACTTGGATTTAATCTTGAGTGCCAAACCCAAACCCTCCTTGGAGAATGGATACAAAAAAGATGTCATAGAAACTGATTCAGTTCCAATTCTGCCGTTGCAGAAAGTTTCGTCCGCTTCCTCCGTATCAGCACCATCAATATCTTGTGTAATCCCAAGTCAGTCAGACGATCTCAACACAGATAACCTCGCACTCTCCTTGAAATCTGATGGAAGTGAAGGAAACTCAAAGAGTCAGCTCCTCTCAAACTCGCTCACAATTTCCGAATCATCCTACTCTTCCTCCGCTGACGTTTTTGAAACCAAAGCTGGTTCTAATTACTACAGAACATTCATGTACGCTAAGAGAATAGCGGTGGATCCCCAACAGAAACGGGCAAGTTTGGGCCAGTCCTTTGACAGTTCAGAATACCACACCCCAGGTACTCACCGGAGCACTCTAACTAGCCCTAGCGAGGAAACATTCCACACTCCTAACGGATCGTTTGAGAACCACAGAAGAGTATCTGCTCCCTCTATGTCTGTTCCTGCTAAACGACCCTCCGATACAGTCGACAACTGCTCTTCCAAGCGGTCCTCTATTGAACTGGAGGATATTGCTGACAAAGTTTCGGAAAATATTGAAGAAATGTTCAAAGCAACTGCTAGATTATCGTCGGTTCCAAGAACCAGTGAAGACGAACCATCTTTGCAAACACCGACAAAGTCTGTACCGGTGGAGAAACTGACGACTCGTAAATCGGAGCCGGTGCTCAGTAACAAGGCAAACAGAGTTCTTAATGAAAATATGTCCCCCAAAGATCACTCCTCAATCAACAAGATTCTAGAAAAATATAGAAGAATACCCACCTCCCCCACTTCAGAAACAACAAAAAGTAGAACAGTCCAATCTATGCGAGATAAGCCCAAAAGGTCCATCTCAGAACGACAAGCTAAACTTTCAGCTAATGCAGAGCGACGCTCCTCCTCCTCTGCAAACCCGCATCAGCGAGTAAAAGTAATCCATCAACTCTCCAACTCTTTTGACAAAACAATAGACCGCCTTGTCAACAAGTACTACCCTAAGAGAGATAGTTCTAGAAACTCCCCCCGTAGTGAAGTCAGCAAAGAAGTTGACTTAAACAGATCACTGAGTACACCCACAAAAGATGCTCCATCAAAAGACAAGAAAACGCCTGCGTCAGCAACTAAAGATGTCCAGAGATGTACAAGCATGGAGTCACCTCGGAGGGCTACCAACTACGAAGATGTTAAACGACACCCCAGCACTCCTTCTCGGTATTACAGTTACAAATCAAGATCCAGCACATCTGCTGACGATAAATCAGGTGACAATGAACCCACCCCACAAAACCGCATCAAAAAATCCGCGCTTCACAGTGGTATGAGGTCTAGAGAGTCCAGTGGGAGTAGCAGCACATTCTCACGAGATAGCACAAAACAAACTAAAGTTGAGAAAATGGACATCGCAAACATTAACGAGTCGAAGAAAGAGGTGTTCCTACCCAAGACAGAAGCGTCCACACCTAAGACAGAAGCACCCACACCCAAGAATGAAGCGTTGCCACCTAGGACAGAAGCGCTGCCACCAAGGACACCAACAAGATCCACACCAAACACGCGAGGATCAGTAACACGCGAGACATCGCTAAACAGTCCTTCTAAAGGTAACAACAAGAACACCCCAATCAAGGGAACACCCAAACCGAGGAGTGCCCCTCTGAGAAGTGCTTCCACGCACGGCTCATTCCGCTCCTTTAATGCAGATAAACTGCGGTACACTGACTCTAGACGTGCTCAGAGTCAGAATACTGTTCCGTGTGACTGCAGAACTGCTGTACACGCGCCCACGTGCAAGAGGGTGCGCGGCGCGGGTGAGAAGAACGAACATGAAGGTAAAGAAAAGGATGATCTGGAGAACATTGCGTACATAGAGTTATCAGACACTGAGCGGTTAAAGCATTGGGGCAAGACGGATTACAGTAAATACCTGAAATCTCTGCGGTATCAGGGCAGGTCAGTTCTTTTAAACCATAACTGCTTTTCTAACACGTTTGTCTTTATTCAAATTCTAGATTTTACGGTATTGAGCATTTTTCGTTGCTAAGTAAATTTAATGATTTCAATTCCAGTACGATAACCAGATCGAGTAGTTTCAACGTCAAAGACACTGTTAAAGGTTAGTCATGATTTTATAATTTTAGAACGTAACTTTTCATTCGTGATTACGTAATATGTGAACAACCAATTAATGAAGTTTACGCTTCTGATTCCCTGTTGCTTTGATTGGTATATAAATGTATTCGGAATGCACATTCTTTTAACATTGTAAGAAATTAGAGAATAGCTCAATGTCAATTCGCTCAGCCTGAAAATTTCAGCTTTTCAGCGGAAAGAAACTGATGTTTGAACAGTTTAAGAAGACGATGTAAAACTAAAAAGCTCAGAATACGCCAACAACCTTATCCAAAGATCAGACGAGAGAGAGAGAGAATTATGTCACCGATTTTATGAAAAATAAAAATGAGCTAAAATAACAAGTCAGTGGGGAACATAAACGTTAATATTCAGAAAAGTTGGACGGGTTGTTTTAATTTCAGTGTGTTATATTAATATATGTGAATCGTTATTTTTCGTTTGTTAGGAAACAGAAAGTTATAATTTTGGTAAATTTTGTTGAGCTCGATTCTTGGATTCGAGCCAACCGACCCATGTTTACCAATGATTAATATTTCGTGCTATATTTATATATATAGCTGATATTTAACGTGACCTTCTATGCGGCTATTGTTGCTTAAACTTTAACAATCAAATGTAAAGATATAATATATGCATTATAAGTTATTTATACCCATAAGTTGTACCTAATTTTATGGCACATGCACATAATCAATATCAGTACAAAGATTTAATTGAAAAATAATTTATACATGAAAAGATGCTTTTATAAGTTTACGTGCTTTATTCGTAAGAGTTCTTTTTATAAAATGCTTTTACCTGTTAATATTTGTATAGTAAGAATACAATTTCAAGACGATTGTTGTACTTATAATTCTTTTACGATTTTGCTGAATAATACTGTTTCAAGACTTCCTAATCTGGTTTATTTGGTTCGCCAGATAAAAGCCGTCATTCATAAATTTTAGTATGAGTGTTACTTTGCTCTAACCAGAGCCCTCGCGCTCGGTGTTCGTCACGTAGTATAGTTCGTCACGTAGTATAGTTCGTCACGTAGTATAGTAGTACGCTAAGGTCCCTGTACTGGAATAGGTGAAAGTGTTACTGTTTGTCGTTAAAGTCCGATTACTTATTTTTTTAGTAATCGTATACAGTATTATTTTAGGCACTCTGATCACTGATGGGGTGGATTAATAATCACGACCGAAACAAAGAGAAATGTTTAGTTTTTTTAGTAGGCGATATCTGCAAGTAGAACAATGAAACCCGAAGTTTAAAATTTAAAAAAAACCTCACATAATCATAAAAAGGTACATTATCAATTTTAATCATTCTAATTTTATATTCATCACATTATATGCAAAAAATATTGTAGACGAAAAATTATCTAGTTACTCACTAAAAAAACATAACGTCAGAGTTTAAGAAGCAACAAGTCAAAAGGAGGGGAACTCCACCCCCATCACCAAATGGGACCCCACGTGACCCCTCTAGGATGTTACCTGGTGTTACTAGGTGTTACCTGGTGTAGTATCAGGGCCCAGGAGAGGTAGACACGTGGTGCTGGGTGTGTACTGTGTGGTCGACAATCTTTTGACATTGTTTTTAAGAGAAACTATGACGCCGACGGGCGTCGCGTGCGGAGGGATGTGATTTTATGGAACGTTAAAAAATTTGACTCATTTCATAGATTTCATAGAGGTTGACGATGTTCGAAAATTTTAGAAGCTTATCATGATAGTGTAGTTCTATGAATGAAGCAAGTTACGGGGTCCCACATTTTTTGGCCATGTTATTATACTTTAGTTTCAGGAAAATATTTTCAATTTGTAGAAAGTGGATACCCCGTCACAGCTATATAACAGCTCTGTCCAGAGCCGAAACATTTTACTAGAAAATTAAATTACCCGTTCACTCAACTTAAATTAAATTTTTGTAGGATTTTTATGTACATTATTACATTAATTTAGCTTCATCCATTAGTTAAGTGCAAGTGTGGGTGGTAAATTTTTCCAATCTATACAGTTTTATTGCGTTATAACTACAAGTACAAATGCACATTTTGCTAACAAATAAAACTCAAGGTATTTGAATACTTAATCAGAACTAAAAATACTTCATCCCATTAAATACTGTATCCCTTAGTTAAGAAAACTATGTTACAGATTACCTGCTTCATTTCCAATTAGAATGTTTGCAATTGAAACCATGATTTTTCCACTTCTCTCAATTCACCCCAAAGTGGTGATCTATGTATTATTTTGATTGGATACAAAGTTTTCAACAAAAGGTCCAGTAGTGGTCATGGTTATCAATCGCAATCCTCTCTTTACTTTTAGAAACAAATCTTAGTTAAGAATATTTTTTCAGGCTTTTAAATTACCTTTGAAAGGTCTTAATATTAATAATGGTTTTAAAAAATCCCGAATCAAATTTTTCATTTTCATATTGAGAATAGTTACATAGATCAAAAATTGGAAACACATGCAGAGTCTATTATTGAGTTCCTCTAAAACGTTTGAGGGCTCTATCAGCAATCCAGCTCGTAGCATTCTTCCTCTTAACCTTCTCCTCCAACTCCTCCAGCACCTTCTTATCTACAACCACATTCCTAGCTTCCACTCCTGCACACTAAGGTATCATTGTTAGATTTACGTTGAAAATTGTTTCATACAAGAATCTAGCTAAAGTAAATAATAACATGAGCTCTAATTTGGAGGTATGGACTATATATTATATAATACATATGGTTGATTTTAACAACTATGCTTAAGGGGACATACACCAAAACCTTTTTTGCCGGGACCCGGGATTTGACTTCATATTATGAAAGTATAGATTACGACTGTACGATTTGAGGCATTGAAAAATTTTTTTGAGAGTACGCACATTCGAAAAAAGAATTATTTTCTTTTTCGAAAGTTTTGGAAATTTTGAGAAGTCTGTCATATCACTGTAATACCGATATTTCACTCATTTTAAACTTTTTATAGCTGATTTTTTTACTGAATATTATTTACAATCCGTACAAGAAGCCCTTTAAAGGCTTTTATAATTTAACTATAATAGTAAAAAATGGTGTATGTCCCCTTAATGCTTAAGTCATTTTGCCTTATATTGTACAAAGCCTCACGTTATTCTAAAACTAAACATGCACTAGATTTGTAAGATTGTGATGAATTCCACTTACTGATTGACTAAACTAAGTAACCACTCCCTCCGATATTATGACTATAACAGAGGGACATGTCGGTACCTATACCCAGACAGCAGACTTAAATGTGACTGAACTAAAAAAAATAAGAGTTAAAAAAATTGATTTCATAAATCTTACCTGGTCATCCGCTTCCTCCCCTTGGTCGTTCTCCTTCTTCTCCTTATTCGTCTTCTTCTCCTGTTAATCGTTCTCCTTACCTGAATTATAATTGAATTATATAATTGAACTATAAAATTGGATCAATAAATTTCATATTATTATTATTTAACATCAAAATTACTCTATATCAATATGAAACTTGTAGCGCGATGCGTTACTGTGCCGCGCCGCGCACTTAATAAGGCTTCTCACAGCGACATGGCTAGATCGGCGAGATGCGCTACTGTGCCGCGCCGAGCTGCCATGAATTGACATCGTCAATTAATATGAAACTAATCAACGTGCCATCATGCATTCTCACCTAGCCATACATCATCACCCTCTGAATCATTACTGTAAAACGGCCAAGCTGCTGCCCTAGTCAATGTCTCCGTTTCATTTACATTCGTCACCACAATTGCTTGCTTCATAGGATCCACCGAATTCTGGACAGATTCTATAGTTGACAAATAGTCTAAGTTGAATTGGTGTGCTCCTGCAGAAAAACTGCTAGCTACGTAGGCTGTTGCGTCTGCCCCGTGAGGTTTCCTAACCAGCATGTTTAGCATTGAAGACTCGGGCTTTGAGAGTGGTAGCACCAGAGCTTTGTTTTGCAGTCTGATGATCATAGGCGATCTTCCTAGGTCTGTTAGAAGCTTATACAGCAATTCTAGCTCCCAGCTGGCATCTTGAGCAACGTCGATAATGTCGTGAATAAAGGTCATGATGTCATCGAATACCCTATGAGAGGTTGTTTGTTAGTGAATCATCATGAGTCATGGTAACTATTTGTATAGAAACAGTATGATTATCAAAAAATTAACTTAATTTCAATATTGTTGTATTGATATTGAAATTCTATTTCTAACGTAAGCGACTAAGTAAAGCTAAAGCGAGGATCTCAAATATTTTTCTTGCGTTTGTCAAAAAGAGTAGTATATTATAATAAAATATAATGCATATTTTTATATGAATTCTGTAAAACACTTACCTGGGGACCCCATTCTATTATATTTATGTTCATAATCATATATGAGATATTGCGGAATGACAGGCTAAGCGCCGCCCAGTAATGAGTAATAAAACACTTGTAGGTTTATAACCTACCAGTACTAAGACGCGCGTCGAGTTGGACTCGTTGACGGTCTTAATATTTAACGGCCGGTGATACTCGTAAAATATTTGTTCCAGGACCGTCGACGAGTCCAACTCGGCGCGCGTCCTGGTAGGTTGTAAACCTACAATCTTAATATTTGAAACAAATATGAAATATTTTAAGAGTATCACCCGTTAAACCAATATCCGCATATATCCGTCCTTTTGGATTCTATGAGACAACGGACGTGTTTTTGGGACATAAGCGGACATTAGTGGACAAACATTATGAGATCAATAATGTTTTTTCGCACATTATTTGGACGATTGGAAGAAGCCTATATTTAATATTCATAAAGAGCTTATATTAATTATAACCTATCGAGGCATCCCCTTTGTGATTCAATTTTGGAAAGTATGCCTCTCCTTGCAAACCTAACTCGGAAGCGGGAGCTTTCTATTATATTTATGTTCATAATCTTCACATAGCCATGTGCCTACGCGTACTGCGGTCGCGCGCTGCGGTCGCGCGCTACTGCAAGCGAGAGGGCTCTGGTTAGAGCAATTCATAATCATATATGAGATATTGCGGAACGACAGGCTAAGCGCCGCCCCGTAATAAAACACTTGTAGGTTTATAACCTACCAGTACCAATGACCAAGACGCGCGTCGAGTTGGACTCGTTGACGGTCTTAATACTTGAAACAAATATGAAATATTTTAAGAGTATCACCCGTTAAACCAATATCCGCATATATATATCCGTCCTTTTGGATTCTATGAGACAACGGACGTGTTTTTGGGACATAAGCGGACATTAGTGGACAAACATTATGAGATCAATAATGTTTTTTCGCACATTATTTGGACGATTGGAAGAAGCCTATATTTAATATTCATAAAGAGCTTATATTAATTATAACCTATCGAGGCATCCCCTTTGTGATTCAATTTTGGAAAGTATGCCTCTCCTTGCAAACCTAACTCGGAAGCGGGAGCTCTGCCTTCGGAGGTACGTATCGAGATGACTCGGACCGAAAATTTACAAATGACAAAGTTATCCTGGAATAACTTTGTAAATTGTTTACGTTCCACATTACCCTCATCATTATGAGCCAAAAATATTTTTTAGAAGCCCACCATGAACATTAGTTGGAGGACTTCGACGCGCCGCGCAAACTAGCATTCTTGCTTAACGCAGAGCAACGATCTCGATGGGTTGACATCGTACGTCAATCAAGAACATTAGATACACGATTAACGGGTGATACTCGTTACGGGTGAAGATATATTTGTTCCAAATATTAGACCGTCGACGAGTCCTATCCAACTCGGCGCGCCTCTT